TAAGGCACCTGGCAGTGATTCTAGAGCTCACACAAATAATTAACCAATGTGGATTTCTGAGCTGCCACATCATAAGATTGTATTACCTGAATGAACAGTGATGTTTTTTCTGAAGTAAAAAGTCTTGTAAAGGAAATATTTATGCTTAAAATTGTGGTAAAGGTAAACTCAGCTATTCTGAACTGGTTTTCTCATACAGAGTCAGTGTGTATTTGTGGTGAGTTAATGATGAAATATATAAAGTTTATTATCACTGAACTTGGTTTTAAATTCCTGTATTAGTTGGTGCAGAGCAATGTGAGGCTCCAAAGATCTCCAATGGAGTTGTGATCCCTGTGAAATCTCTCTATGAAAAAGGAGAGTCCGTTCAGTTAAAGTGCAATGCTCAGTGTGCTTTTCCTGATGGCACTGGAGAGATGACAGCGACTTGCCAAGGACAGAGTCAGTGGAGTTCTCTACAGAACTGCATCTGTGAGTCCATCTCATCCTTGGGGAAACCAGGGCCTGGGGACAAGTGGCAAATCTCTGATTGAGTAATACGTCTTTCCTTTTGTTTCCCTCCTTTTCTTTCCAGGTAAGGGTGAAGAAGGTTCTGGTTCCACTCCACACATAAGTTATGGCAGAGTAATTGAGGGCCAAAAACCTTCCTATTCCGTGGGGGATTTTATTACGATCGAGTGTTATGCAGGATACACCTTACACGGTGCAGCTCGGATTCAGTACGTGGGGGAAAACCAGTGGGATCCTGCAGTGCCAACCTGCAAACTGAGTGAGTATGAGCTGCAAGAATTTCCACTACAATACCTGTGAGAGAAGCTTTACTGCTTAGGGACATTGTTTTATATTCAGAGGGAATAATTTAGGGCAACTTTCTTGGCTTTCCCATCAAAAATAGGGTTTGGGAAAATTGATTAAAAATAGGGATATTTTAAGTTAAGTAAATGTTAAGTAAACTATCCTGCTGCAAAGATTGTGTTGACAGAAGTGCTTGAGCTACTTGAAATACTTTGTGACTATAATAATGTCTGAGTGAGAAGCACTTATGTTCCTCTTGTGACACTGATTCTCTCTGTTTTAGGTGGATATATCATAGCCATCATCTGTGGTAAGTGTCCTATAAATCCTGAACAAGATACAATCTGGATTGTGTTTTTTATGTGGAAATTTACTTTTTGCTCCAGTCAGCACCTGTGACTGCAGTAGTGTGATTTTGAAGTGTTGGTTAGAACTCTATAGTTGAAGAAAAGTTTAGATTGCTTAGCAATTGTAGGTTAATTTGGTGTAAAATGTGTATTTTTTCTTGTGTTTGAGGTCAAATTTCACAGTCGGTTTTGGTCATCATAGAATCAACCGATTGAGCTGAACTATCTTGCAGAGTCTTGACTAAAGCATCAAATATTTATGAAACAAGCAAAACAAATAACTTTTTTGTTGTTTTTTTTTGGGGGGTAGAGGTGGTACAGTCTTGTGGATGAAAACAGTGCTATTTCTGCTATAATTTTTGAGGCTTTTTTGGGAGCTGGAAATGATGTTCATCACCCTAAACCTTTCTCTTTTCATTCTTCCTCAAGTGTTTATGGTAGTCGTGGTGCTCTTGGCAGCTTTCTGGGTCTATAAGAAATTCTTTTCACAAAATGGGTGAGTAGGTTTCCTTTTTGTTATGACTTTTGTTGCAGATTTCAAGATGACTGAGCCAAAGTTGTGCTAACGCATGTGAGTTTCTGAGCTTTGCCTGCACTTTGTGTTTGAGCTTCTCACAGCAGCTCGTGAAGCTAAAGCCTAACAATGTATTTGACTTTGGTTTTGTATCTGCTGTTCAGCCAAGCTGCTAATTAACACTTGCACTAATTTTCAGGAAGGAAAAAATCCTGTTCTTAAGCTTGTGTTTGCCATATGTAAACTTGCCATGGAAAGTACTTTTGTCATTGCTAAAAACATGTCAGTTCAGCTGTTAAAGCCACTGGTAGCATTGGCTTGTGGTGGGTTGTGCTGTTAGAAGGTTTTCAGGGTTTTTTTTTCCCCTGCAGCAGCAATGTTTGTGTCCCTGTGTTAAAGACATGCAAAATCATCTGTAAAATACTAGATCAATCCAGAAGTAATAGTGTTCTCCTGTTTCTAATGAGACCTAGAGGGTGATTTTTCATGAAGGGGTGGCAGGAGATTTTAATGCCTCTTTGTGCATTGCTGCTTGCTGTAATGCCTGATTTTACCTTCTTGAAAAAAACCTGTTTTGTTGGAGAAACAGTTTGTAACATGCCAAATGGAAAATTCAGAGCCAGTTAGGTGGTACATGTGGGGTGTTAGGATAAGCATCTCATCAAACCTAACTTCCTTCTAACAATCTGTTGGAGTTTCTCTGGGGTGTGTGAAGCTGAGGAAGGGATGCTTTAAATAAGGTGAACCAGAGGGAATATTCCTGTGGTTCTTGTTGGTGAGGAAGCACACACAGGACTGCTTGGGAGAACCCTGAAGGGAGTTTATATCCAGAGAGGTTTTAGCTTAGTATCTCTTAGCTGGGCAGGGCAGTGTCGTGACCAGGCCCAGGGTGACACTGTAGCTTGGTGCTGCTGAGTCATTTAGTGCTTCTGAGTCATTGCTTTTCATCCATGACTTGGATAATCTGCAATCTGAATGGGCCAAGTAACAGTACGTGGAAGTTCACAGTAGTAGGGCAGCACTTTCTGCCTTCATCCATGCAGAGACTTCTCAGGGTGCAGAAAGGAGGAGGATCTGAAGCCACAGCGTCAAAAATTAACGAATGTGACATTCCTGAATATTTTACAGCATGAAAAGCCTCATTGTGCTTTCCCTTCTCTTCCTCTCTGTGAACATCTGACTATTAAATGTCTTTCTTGTCTGCAAACCCTGATCTAATCTCCTTTTTATTAAGGCCTCAGTCTCCCTATTTAGCCTCTGACTTCCTGACGTAGCTGAGCCTTTGTGATCTGTTGTGCCTCCAGCCCCTCATACTTGCTGGTTTGTGGGCTTCAAATGGCAGCAAATCTCTTCTTGCCCTCTCTGTGTGTTTAATCCACCAGTTTGATGGGACATTCAATTAGACCTTTCTCCCCTTCTGCTGTTCAGCTCCTATACAGTTGATGAGAGTTGCAAGGAAACATGTATTTTAAAAACTAATTCCCCAGCTGAGATGGAAGAATCTCCACAAATGAATTAATTGCCTCTTAAAAGGTATACACTTTCCACTTCATTTGCACTTTTACAGTGAAGCTTAAGTGTCTTTTGTGTTGTGGTTTACTTGGAATTTCAGGAGTGTGGAAGCTTCCTAGGTATTGAACTTTGGCTTTCTGTGGGGAAGAAGAGCATAACCTTTCATTCATTTGGAGAGAACAGGGTAGAAGATATGAAGCATTAGCATTTAGTGTCATAAATGATAGATTCTAGTGATTTGCATATCACATTTCTTAGTCTTGGGTTGTCTTTGAAGAGTGAGTAACATCTCCCATACTCAGTAGAATGTTTGCACCCACTTCAGGAATGGGAAATGGTTTTCCTGTGGTTTATTACTTTTGTTAGCCAATAGTTAGAAGACATCTGGAGCTAGAAAACACCTTTGGGGACTAGAATTCCAAGGTAGTTGTGCATCCCTTCAGAGAAAACCACATCTTGTGTCTCTCAGAATTCTGACTCGACTGTTTTCGCTTTCTAGAAGAAAAATAAATCAAGTTTCAAATGATCTTCTTTTTAAACCTTCCTACAGAAAGGTGATTTCTTTCTCAAATTCAGAGCTCTGTAGCCTGAAAAAGGATCAAAGTGAAGTTGCTTGCTTGCAACTGATTTCCTCTCCTGTATTTGAAACCAGTGCTTAGCCCAGTAGTGAGATGCACTCAGTGGTTGGGGTGGCTCCTGCCCAAGGGTAGAGTCACGTGAGCTCTTCCAAAATCTGACTCTTCCAACCTTGTTCCACAGAACACACTCAAGACATGGCAGCTTAGTTTGACTGTTCCTTGTAAGTATTTTGTTGTTACTACCTTGACAGAGTTTGCACTACAAATAATTCTGTGAGTTAGTACCTTGTGTCACTTTTCTGCACTGCACCAATCTGAGAAGGCAATGGGTGGTTGTGTCTCTTGCTCAGTGCCAAGGTGTGTCACGTGCACTGTCTTGATTTCACTGACTTGCAAAGAGCAAATGACTTTTCAGTACTTTTGATCAGTTTGAGATGATTTATGAAATTTAAGCTTGGGAGTTTCTTTCAAAATAATGTGTGGATTAAGGAATATCATCTTTACTGCTGAAGAAAGATGGTTCTAATGAAGAAAGGATTAGTTTTCTGGGTTAGTTTGGCTTAATTTTGGGAAGAGAAAAAAGGAATCAAGAGAGGGAGCTCTTCATTCCAATCTTACCTTTGCACATGACAATGATAAGAGGAATTACTGTTCTGGTATGTGAAAACACTGTTAACTCCTGAGTTTTATGGTATCTAGAATTCCATAGAGACTTAGAATAACAGTCCAGAGGTTTCCTATGGTTTGGGGTTTTTTTTTTCTGTAAAGCAAAACAGGAGTTATTCAAGAACTTGAAAACATGTGTATAAGGATGTTACTGTGAATTTTGATTCTTGTGTGTTTTAAGTATTGTAAAGTTGCTGTTAGTGGAGCGAAAATCAAAATTCTCACTCAGCTTTTGGTTAGAAAATATGTACTAAACAGCATAATGTATTGAAAATCAATGATAAGGGGTGGGTGCACCTGATGTGTTCTCCAGACCAGTTAGAAATCTTGTAACTGGTCTGTTTTTCTCTTTGATAATACTTGAGGTGGGTCCATTCATCACTTGAAATGATCCATTTTGAATCAAAGGCTCTTCTATTCCCTGGGTCATTCTTAATGCTCTAGTAGATGAATGAAGCTAAAATCTCAGCCTAGTAAGGAGAGGATAAATAATGACTTAGTTTCCTGACTTGACCTGTTAATTTAATGCTAAAACTAAGGCTATGCTTTCAGAATAAATGTAAAACCTATTTAAATGTAAAAAATCTCTGATTTGACTTGTTTTTTTGTTTGTAGGAAATCTGACAGCAATCCCTGTACTGCCGAATATAAGATCTGTAAAGCATGAATGACTTTCTGGGGGGGTGGGAGGGAATCTGCACTGGAATATTCCTGTCAGAAATGGGAAATGATTGCACTTTCATTGAGTTGCTGTAGATGAGTGTCTTGTGCTCTATCTTGTTCTACTGATTCACGTTAGGAGGAGATACTTAATAGGGTAAAATATATGTCTGTATATCTGCTTTTCCTTGTGGGCCACTCCTTGTCTTTCCTGTGTAACCCTACCAGAGTGTCTGTCAGCACCAGTCCAGGATGTGTCACTGTCACAGTGTCAGCTGCTGCTGCCTGCAGTGCTCCCTCTTTGCTCCCAGAAGACTGTCCAGTTTGTCCTGAATGTATTTATTCTGTCCTGCTCACTAAAACCTCGATGTCCTTCTCATTCCTTGGAGTGCTTGAGATATTATCAATGGTTCTGTTGTCTCCTGTATCATGGAATATTTGCTTGCTAATATCCTAACAGATTGGTGCCATTTAAGGCTCTGTCTTTTTCAAACTCTCACAGTTTGGATGCTATATACTCCTACCTCTTTGTTTGCCAAAGTTGGTTTCTGTATATCTAATGAATTAAAACGTGCCTTTAAATCAGAGTTTGATAGATTTGCCTTTGCCTTTAAGAAGGAAACAAAAGCCATATATATATATATATATTTCTGAAGCTTTGATACAATCCCAGAAAGACCACAGTAGATTTGTTGGAGTGGAAAACTGAAGGTTTCTGTAGCAGAGGCATCCCCTGCCTGTTGACAGAAGGTTCCTAATTAAAGCAACTGCTTGAGGACTCAGTGGTAACCATCTCCTCTGGAACACAGTGTAAATTCCTTAGGGTACTTGATTTTTCTTGAGCTCTGATGTCAGTTTTGGATCTGCTTTGTTGTTTCTCAGGCTAGAAATGGTGCTCTGTGGATCTGCCTTCCTCGCTTTCTGCGTGAAGTCAAATATTCCACATACATCCTTTCCTGTTTCTCTGTACAGGCTGATGCTAAATCAAGCCCTGTAATGTCAGATTTGGCATCAGATACCTGTTGGGAAACAG